ACTGCCTCATTTGATCTTTCTTGACAGAGAGTTTGTACTAAGGGGGCTCGAGAGGGCAGCACAAGAGATGGGCTGTGGAAGCCTCATCCTGGGGTGCTTGGGAGGCTGACAGCTTGATGTGTTACCAGACAGGTCTTCCCAGGGGGTCTACAGTAGGACTGGTTGTGAGTCCTGTTGTTGGAAAGGGCTAATATGTTAAGAACTTTTTCAGGAAAGGACTATTTACTCCATCTCCTGTTTTCCCCATTTAAAAATGAAAGTTTGGGGGTTTGTTTGTTTAAAATCAACAAGTTGTTTTGAAGAATAAAGTAGGAAAAAAAAGTGGGAAAAAATGTGAGTAAACAAAGTCAAAACTGAAGCAGTACACTTTGAAATTACTAAAATTAAAGTTTATAAATAAACTAGTTTTTGCTTTTGCTATTTTAAAGCTGTCCAACCTTAGAGTAACCAGAAGATTCTAGAGTCTTTTCACAGAAAAATAACCCCAGTTCTTTCTGATTCCAAAACTGAGAGGCCCTACCTCTGTAAACCCACAGACCTGAATTGATTTTGCTAATTTCATTTTTTCCACAAAACAAATGGACCCTTTGTGTCATTGTAAAGCAATTTGCACGCAGCTCTAAGCAGGAAAAAAGTATTACTCTCCCTTATTGTAGATTTTCAAGGTGATGTAGCCAGAGTAGATTCAACTGTATGTGCTTACATTTGGGGTCTTTTGCATAGCGTCTAATGAAGCTATTCAAGCACCTTCTGTCTTCATCTGCTCCTGTATACCAGCAAGAAAGGAAAAACAGCCTTCACCCTCCCCCACTGCCTTTGCAATTCAAAGCCGTTGCTAAAAACAAACTTCAAAATGAGGCACAAAGTTTCCATATAGGCAGATGTTATCATCTTGAAATTCTACAGTTACTATATAGTGTCTCAGATCCTTCTTCAGATGTTTGCATAGATCCCAGTGTAGTCAGGTAACAGATACTCTGAATAATCAGAAAGAGGAGTATCAGCTACCTGATGAACTGAATTATCAGTCTCTTGATTTTGAGTGATTAAGGTATAGCATTTTAAAAAAGTCTGAAGATCATTGCATTTTACTGCTTTACAGATCTCAAACAAAGGTATGTTTCTGAAGCAAGGCGTATGTGCAGGGAGATATGGGAGAGATGCGTGGCTAGTTGTTAGCAAGTGGAGATGCAGAATTGCTGTTCTCGGCCTCAGAGGTGAAATGAGTTGGCTTTTGGTAAGCCAAGTGTGCAGAGAAAAAGCTGGAGGTAATCTAAAAGGTTGACTCTCCCCTCTGCTCTGCGCTCGTCAGACCTCACCTGGAGTCCTGTATCCAGGTCTGGGTCCCCCAAAACAAGAAGGACATTGAGCTGTTGGAGCAGGTCCAGAGGAGGCCACAAAGATGGTCAGAGGGCTGGAGCACCTCCCATATGAGGACAGGCTGAGAGAGTTGGGGTTGTTCAGCCTGGAGAAGAGAAGGCTCCAGGGGGACTGTATAGCGGCCTTCCAGTGCTGAAAGGGGGGCTACAGGAGAGATGGGGAGGCACTCTGTATCAGGGAGTGTAGTGAGAGGACAAGGGGTAATGGGTATAAGCTGAAAGAGGGCAGATTTAGATTAGACATTAGGAAGAAATTCTTTACTGTGAAGGTGGTGAGGCAGTGGCCCAGGTTGCCCAGAGAAGCTGTGGATGCCCCATCCCTGGAGGGGTTCAAGGCCAGGCTGGATGAGGCTTTGAGCAACCTGGGCTAGTGGGAGGTGTCCCTGCCTGTGACAGGGGGGTTGGAACTCGATGATCTTTAAGGTCCCTTCCAACCCAAACCATTCTGTGATTCTATGATTCTATGTCTGAAACAATCACACTGTTGCATCTTTGCTTTTCTTATTAGAACACTTCTGTGGAAGGCACTGTGCAAAAAGCTTGCCAGCTGGGTCCTTCACATTTGGTTACTTTCCATTTGGGCTGATAATTTCCAAAAGAACCAAGAAAGAAGCAGATGATGCATTGAACAATCCAGCAGCTGCCTTTGAAAACAAGCTCCGTGAATTTAGTATTAAAATGTGAAGTTGATCTTAAGGAATTTGGACAGTATTAAGAATGAGATGACCATTGGTATCACTTGCCAGTACAGTGGCAAAGTGCACTTGGAGCCAAGAGTCAACCTGTCTGTTTAAAATGCAACATCGCAGACAAGGATCTTTGGCACCAGAGCCAACAAGTTATGCTGATTGTTCCTCATTTGAACATTTTCCATTTGAAGGAATAGGTCTGCCTTGTTGATGGGTGTCCACTGTGTAGAATGATTTCTGTATCCTGCTGGCAAGAGATGGTTATTGGTGGTGACATTTGAGTTGCCAGTTGCTGTGGCTGTGGCCATGGACCTGGTATTTGACATGTCCTGTGAGGTCATTTCCACACAGGCTGGAAAAATGGTTGGCACAGACATCTGCAAATGATCTGTCAAGCTGTCGGTGCTAGTAGAAAAGTATTAGAAACAGCCTTACTCACTATATGTCTTCATTGGCAATCAGTGGAAAAGGGGAAGAAAATATAAGTAGCCCATAGCTTGTTACCATATGAAATTATTTGACAAAGAGCTTGAGTTCTTTCTTCCCATAGTGCTGAGCAAACTAAGGAGAGAGTCTCCCTGCAGGAAAACATAGTCTTTCCATAGGGTTTTGCAGAAATCCCCTGTGGCTGCTGCCTGCCTGCCTGCATGAAGGGTGCTGGGCACTGCTGTGTCTGTGGTGCAGAGCTGGTGGGGTGACCCCCAGCAAGAACACCTTGGGTTTGCTGTCAGCAGAGAGGGAATGCCCGAGCTCTCTTTGCTTGTCAAGGTAGTCTTTATGGGGAGGATTTGGCCTGTCAGGATTTGCACTTCAAAATATTCAGGAAGATTAAGAGCCTTGTCAGTCTCAGGAGGGTGAATAATAAGTTTAAGCTTTCAATACAGGTTATTTTATAAGTTTCAATGCAGTTTGCTACTTTCTTGGAAAAGAAGGGACTATTAGTTTTAAATTATTGGGGTTATATTTAGTTCAATGGATAGTGGCAGGCAAGCTTTGCACAGTTGAATGAATGTAATTATTCTGCTGTTACCAGAAGAAAGTTGAAATGAAAGTCATGAGACCTGACAAACAGTTTCAGGAATACAGAAATGCAATAAAAACATAAACTTTTAAAGGAAATAACTTTTCCAGGCAAAGTGATACACATTCAGTAAAACTACATCAAACTGGATTGCAGTAATTTGGATTACAGCAAATACAGTGGAAACCAACATTCGTTACTCTCTTTCTTTTCTAAAGAAAATAATGTAACATTTTTAGACATTGAAAAGAACAGAACAGATAAAATATTTTGACTTATAAATAAAACAATGGTGAAAAGGAAGTGTCAATAAACTATATTAGCGTTAGTTCTGTAATAAATATAGCCATGTAATAAGTTCAACTAACTACCATTTTATTATTTGACATGCAGCTAATTCATATCTTAATTAAAGAAATCTCAAATATTTATTAGTTCAGTATTTTTTACTCACCTGATTGCTCTGATGACAGTTTTAAGAGCAGGGGTGAGATCTTCTACTGACACATCACACTGACACCCTTTATCATCGTAAACATCATCTGTTCCAAGACTGGTGTCAGCTGCAAAATACAAGAGCAGACTAAACAAGCAGCATTTAAAAATCTCTTCTTTAGTGTCTTCTAACCGCCTGCACAGTGGTTCTGGGAAAATAAGGACTGTAAATCAAATAAGACAGAGTTTCATCAGTTTGCAAGCTATACGACGCACTTGTCTGTTTCTGTGGTTGTGTCATAAAAGGCCTGGGTAGTCCCCAGTGTAAACAGCAGAAGTTAGAAAGGAAGAAAGCCCTGTTATTTTTCAAACAAATTAATAGTTTAGTATCAGCATATCTATTCCTGATGTCTCACTGTTTTTCATCACATTCTCTGTGTTAAGGTGAAGTGGGGAGCTAATGGGAGAATCAAAGGTGCTGAAGTTATATTAAATTGTTATTTTTTTTACCACTATGGTTCAACCTGACATTGAATACAAAAGAGAAGATCCATTTCATTTACTAAGGAGGCTGTGGAATGATCCAATGCTTCACTCAGGTGAATATAAATGAAGTACCTTTTTGCCAGAAATTAATAGAGAATGGCATCCATCACAGATAATTCCCACCTTAAACCTCAGAGTCATAGAAATATAGCAGCCTTCCTTTGCAATAAGAGCTTCAGCCAAGTTACTCTATTTATTTGCCTGAAAAAAAATTGATCCTCTACCCTTTCCTAACACCACCTTTGCAAAGTTACCATTTGAGAATTAACTAAAAATCTCAGAATTGCCCAGTGTACCTCAATACACAAAGGAACAGGGACTGATGCATGGCCAAGAAGTTTTACAAACTGGACTGGGGACGGAACAAGGAGGGCAGGGTCAGTGGATGTCCCGATGCCATATACGTCTCAAAGGTACATGGAGTACAGGAAAACTCTTGAGGGTAGGTGTTTTTTCCTCCCAAACCACCTCTCTTCACCTGCCTAAAGTCCAAGTGCCCGGGTGAAAAATTTCACCCAAGCTCAGTGTATTTCAAGCTTCATTTCTGCTTCATAAGGAAGAGAGTATACAATGAAATAGTAACATATGAAATAGAGAAAAAAGGGTGGGATTCAGTAACCCTCAGCAATGGAGGAGATTTCTTCACAGTCCTGTGTCCTTACCTACATTCATGCTATTATTTAAAGCATAGGCTTAGTCATCCAGAAACACTGCAGGTAAACCACTGCAGTGGTTATTATAAACAAATTTGATGCACATTCAGACACAAATGATTGCAGGACATTTTTTTCAAGTTCCTTTTTCACAAAGACTGTAAATTGAAGATGAAAAATATTCTTTGTCAGTCAGAAGTTCCTGGAAATTTTGTGGTAACTTTTAAATCTAATAGAAATGCTACCTTGGAATAAACAGCATTGGACTAGGCAGCATCTTCAGGAATTGGTATTGCTGGATCGTTGTCTTCACAGATTTAATATTTGGCCATAATAATTTATTTTGATGACTCTGGCTAGTTCATTACCCTCAAGGCTATATTTTCTTTTTTTAACTGTTGCTGATCTGATACATACATGAGGAACATCTATTGTAGTTTTGAGGAGCAGGAGGTTTCATCCTTGATAGATCAATTTAAGAGAAAGATGGGTTATAGCCAAGTTAATAATGTCTTCAAGTACACATGAAAAAATCAAATGCAACCTTAAAATAAATCAGATTAACATTGTAAAAGTGATATTTTCATACAAAACTTTGAAATCTCCCCTTCCACAGTGTTACTGTAAATTGTACCAACAATGATGACAAGAGTGCTTTTTCTTGCCCTCTTTCACGAGCTTTGCTACTAACTCGGTTTATCTCATAGATAAAATATGTATGTCTCTCCACCTATCCTGCCTAACTAAGGTTTGGATCCCTGCCCAAAACATAATTAGCTAAAATAAACTATGTAATTAGTTTGATAGGTATATAAACTACCTAAAACTCTATCTCCGAAGTTTCTGAGTATTCCCAGAAACTAACTTTCCAGGTGTCCTGTCTTCTCCCAGTCCTGAAATCTCCCAGCTCATTCCTAAGTACCATACTAAAGCCAGAGCTTTTTATGCTACTGGTATTGCCAGTGGCTCTCTAAGGTTTGAATGTACTCAGTTCTGCCAGTGTAAGTTAGGAGTAATTCCGCTAAGATCACAAGACCTACAATCATGTAACCCCAGTGAAACAGGAGACTCCAACTTGAAAATTTAAAATAAACACGTTTCTAAATGGTTCTCTCACTGATACAGTTCCTGGGTCCTTTGCCAAGTACAGTATCATTAATAAAAGAGTACCATTAATAAAAGGGCTTCCTTAATACAGTATATCTATGCAGAACCATTTTGACAACAGTGTGGAGCAATTATAATATTCCATGTTGCTCACATGTGGATATGAAAATCAGCAATATCTTTAGAAAGACACTGGAAAATTCTTATAAATTTCAGACAGCTTTAAGAAGAGATACCGCTCCTAATAAATCACCTTCTTTTTTTTTTAATTTCTAATATTCCCACTGACATGAATTTCCTTCATTATGGCAGGCACTCGGTGCCACATGTCAATAAAACTTGTAAAACCTATAAACCTTGTTTGATTCATATGGGAAACATTCATGTTTCTTTATTATACTGAGCAGACTTGGGAAAAAGTTTGGGAAATGCGTAGTAACAATTTGGAAAAAAAAAATTCCAGCTTAAACCCCCACTGAAATCAAAGTTCACATTTTTTCCAGTGGAAGCTCATGTTGTGTATGACATAGTTATGAGGTGAGATGTATCACTTCTGACCCTCTCAAGTTCATCTTTGAGGTCGGGGCTGTGTTGGGGTCAGTTTGGCCGCTTCAGAAGCTCCAGCTGTTAAAATCCCTGCCAGTTCCCAAACAGGGCTAAACTACGGCCTCTGATAAGCCTTGCTCCATATTCCCAGAGAGAGCCCTCCTCATTAATGGGGCAGGCAGACCCTCTGGTGCCAACTCATGCCTCACCCTGCAGGCATCTGCTTCTTCGTCCTTCCCCATACTCCTTGGCTGCATCTCCTACTCTCTGTTGTGGTGGCTGTGCGTGCTCCAAGCAGGCTCCACAGGCGCGCTTAGGCAACAGTGGCTCCGCCCTGCCAGGCCTTCCTAGAGTTAGCGCTGGTCTTTCTTTCTCTCCAGGAGCCTCTACCAGCAGCTAAGCAGGCCTTTCAAATCTGTTGCATGGGCACCTCACGAATCCTGTCTCGATGATGGCCAAAGTGTCTCAATACAGATTTAGACATACCCCTGCAAGTCTGCCCAAGAAGAGGTGTCAGCCTGTCTGAGAATGCAGAAACAATTCCCCTTTTCTAATAGCAGCATCTTTACAATTCAGGATGTGTTTTGATCCTAAATGTCAACCCGGAAAGTGTTTATTTCACAACCGATGAGGCATCCGCCATTAGCTTACAGTCTTTGACATTATTTACTTTGGGCTAAAGTCTTCTGTTTGCCACTTTTTAATTTCTTCCTATTTCTTCCTGAAGAGCAGTCTTTGATTTAATCACACAGCAAATTGGTAATTACCAAGAAATAGAAAAGAGGCACGCACAAGTCATTAAAATTGTCTTGCTATTTCCCTGCTTGTCACAGTATTTGTGCATTCTTCATGCAAACTCCAGTCATTTATGGTCACCCCAAATGAACGGGCTAAAAATTACACTGTTCTGAAACACTGTATGTCACCAACAAGAAATTTACGAGGATGTAGCTGCATTTAATATGGTTCTGTGCAAAAGTTATGTGCAAAGCTTGATTCATTACTTCTGTAAATATCATGTGTCCTTTCTTAGAAGTGTTTTCTGTCGTTTAATAGCATGCTTCGATGTTGGGAAAACTGTGACAATACTCTGAACACCTTCACAGCTCCATGCTTTCAATGTCAGTAGCATTCAAGCAATTGTCTGTTTGTCATGTTTTAGGCCCAGCTGGCAACGAAGCACCATGTGGCCGCTTGCCCACTCCCCCCCCGCCCCCTGGTGGGATGGAGAGGAGAAAATATAATGAAAGCTGGTCATGGGCAAACCAGTCTCAACTGTTCCTGGAATGTGGTTTACAGGACTCTCCCTGCTCTGGGATAGTTGGGCAGGAACGGGCTGAGCCTTTTTGGTGCTCAACATGGGGCTCAAACACATAACCCCGGAATTAGGAGTCCCATGCTCTACTGACGGAGCTAACCAGGATAGTTTAGTTATCTAAAAGGACTGCCACAGTTTTGATTCTGACTAGCAGCCAAAGGCTACAACAACCACTTGCTCACCATTCTCCCTTCCAGGCACCGGGGAGAGAATTAAAGGGGTAAAGGGAAAAGAGACTCATGGGTTGAGATAAGAACAACTTAATAACTAAGTGACAATAATATTGAAAACAATAATAATAATGATAATAATAGTAACATATACAAATATACAAATGAGTGATACACAGTGATACTGTTCACCACTTCATGACCAAGACTCAGCCTGTTCCTGGCTAACAATCCCAGAGCAGGGAGAGTCCCAAAACCACAATTCCAGAAAAGAGATAAGAGCCTGAGTGTCTGAGAGATCAAGATGACCCTGAGAGAGGGGTGACCCAGAGGGAGACAATGCTGAGCAAGAGAGAGAACTTCCAGACAGAGCCTCATCTATATACTGGGCATGACATGTATGATATGGAATAGACCATTGGCCAAGTTGGGTCTCAATCCTAAACTTAAGATCAAATCTGAAGCTAGTAATTGGGGCTGAGCTCCCTCCCAGCTTCTCCTGCCCCTGCAGACACTGGCACAGCAGAGAAGCTGAAAAGTCCTTGACTGTCCTGGCAGCAGCTATAAACATCAGTGTGTGATCAGCCTTCTCCTCAGCACAAATCTGAAACACAGCCTCTTACTAGTTACTATGAAGAAAGTTAACTCTGTCCCAGCCGAAACCAGGCCAATGTTACAGAACAGTGTTGTGTCAACTTTGTAAAAAACCCACTGATTTGGAAAAAAAGTCTGATTGATTTTCATTGTAATGCATGACTCAAGGTGAAAAATGGATGGTGGTCTGATTT